AGTTTTATTTAATAAAGGACTCGTACTGCTGAAGTTCCTCTTAAAAAAATTCTACGGAAATTAACAAATGACCAGAGACGTAACAGTATAGTCCAATATATTAGATAAACAAGTGATGATAAAAACTAATTTGGTCCAACACTCAACTGAAAAATGTTAAATCAAACGATGCAAGTTTGAAACCAATTATCCAGTGAATTAAGAATGGCGCAGTAAAACCCTCATGGCCAACAGTCATTCCAAACAGCTCAAAGATAAAACTGTACAGGGTGCAGTGAGATTTGTTATGCTTATTACAAGAGACTTATTTAAACCATTCTACTATCACAGGTATGGGGGTGGCATTTTACAATTTTATAAACTCTGATCAAGTTTTCCTATTTTTAAAGTATCTATACAGCAACAACAGCAGTATGAAGTTTACTGTAGAAAATCAGGAGGATCACAAACTTCCAAATTTGAACACTAACTAATAATAATAGCAGACAATTTAGATGTGAAGTGTACCATAAAAACTTTTGCAGGACTGTATTTTAATTTTACAAGTTTCATTCCTATTATCTTTAAAGAAAATTTAATTCAAGTACTTTTTACTGTGCTTATGAGATATCTAGCACACATGATAGATTGTGTAAATAATTTAAGAATATCAAATAATTTCTGGGTAAAAATGATTTTCCAAGTTACTTTATCGATAGATTACTTCATTATTATCTAAATAAGCGAAGTGTTGCTACATCTTGTATTATTGATGTATCTGGAAACCCTCTGGTTATTAGTCTATTCTGCATGAGAAAATACTCTTTGATTATTAAGAATCAGCTGAAAAATGCTATTTGTAGGGTATACCTGCGGATACAGCTGAGGTGTTTTTTAAACCAAATTGTTGACTTATTTTTTAGTTCTTTCTTTAAATTCAAGGGTCAAATTCCAACCTTACAATCTTCTTTTGTTGTTTATGAACTTACTTGTCTCTGCTATCAGTAGGGTTATGTTGGTCCTACTAGAATAAAATTATTAACACATGTGCAAGAACATGCTAACCTAAGGTTACTGGTTAAGTTTAATATGCTTGTACATGCTCTAGGTGAATGTGACGTTCCCGCCCACTTTAATTTGTTTAAGATCTTGGCTAGGGCCAATTATGAACAGAGCCTCCGAGTAAAGGAGAGTATGCTAATATATATAAACTTATTCCCGAAATCAACGTTCTTAGTTCCATTAGTACTTTAATGCTAAAGCTATAAAACTGTAGAGGTTTATTATATTGGAAAACAGATGGTACCAGTGGACAGAAACAATGATTATAGTTGGTATTTTTAGTCTCTACATTCTGCCATCTCCTCAACCTCCCAACAGCTGGACACGAGAGAGAGTAAGAGAGCATTTCTATTAGGTTGGGATCCGGGGATCTGAAGCGAATTGCTGAAAGTCCTATGAACTATGGTGTGAGCGGAAATGTCCGAGAAAGAAACAGCATGAATAACCCCAGCAGTAATATGTTAGATCACAACTTATATGAGTTGCTGTCAATGTGTATAGTTTTCTACTGCAGCCTAACAGTGAGAAAAAATGCATCATAATTGCCTCCCAGTGGCACAGTGGTATGTTTGCAAACTTATACTGCTAGAAACCGGGTTTCAATACCCGTGGTGGGCAGAACACAGATATCTCTTTGTGTAGCTTTGTGCTTAAC